TGAAAAAAAATGTCTCTTAACAATGTTTTGAATCTGTAAAAGAATAGATATTTCTAAAGCCTCTCCTGGCTCTAGAATCCTGTAGATTTTATATATCCACTTTTTACAAATGATCTTATATGAAGGTTTAGCAACACAAAAAAATCTTTTTCTATATCCACAAACTACAAGCCCTCTGGGGCACATTATTGATTCAAAACCCTTTTCCAGTGATGAAGCCTTCTCAAATCTTCCAGGTATTATACATTCCAGGACTTTCTCCCTACTTTGAGGTGCTTCATATAGACCTTCTCCTCCTTCAATCTCTCTAACAGTTAATGGCATAATTGTGTTTTTCTATTTCTCTAGTTAGAAATGTGAACACCTTGAATCTGGTTATGGATTCTTAGTAATTTTTGTATCTCCAGCACCTTGCATAGTCTATGGCACCCTATGAATGTTTAGTGAATGTTACAGATAAGCCAAAGTGGAATGTCATATTGGAAAACTCATATTGGAAAAGGATACCATTACCCACCCCTCACTGATGAATAGCAGGCAGAAGGTAGAGCTTTGCTGCCAATAATGATTCATCTGAAGGAATATAAGAAATTAAAATTTACTAAGAACCTACCAAGTCAAGTAAGCCTACATATATGCACATAGTTTTTTTCATCCTTTTGACAACCTTATGAATTAGGGATTATTGCTATCATTTTATGAATGAGAAAATTGGGTTCAAAGGGGACAGATTTGTCCATGAAAGAACAGCAATAGGAGGATTGGGGGTGTGGCTCAGTGGTAGAGCACTTGCCTAAGATGCACGAAGCACTGGGTTCTATTCCCAACACTGCAAAAATAAATAAATAAAAATAAAAGAATAATTAATATGATTTACACACAGCCCTTTGAATGCCATATATCATATTCACATGACTGAGTGATATATCATAAGGATAATTTTCTAATCCAGTATAAGTACTGGTCTGTGTAATGATGTGTTTTCTGCATTATCAATTACATTTTTATAATTAGAAGGGGTGGTTCCTTGATTCAGAAAGGTAGCTATAGATAAATCTACATATGATACCTGGAAGGGTAAAGAAAAGGTTTACAAGCAGAGTGGTTTTTGTCTTTATATTAACATAATATATTACACATAACAAAATATACTACATATATATTGATGAATAGCAGGCAGAAGGTAGAGCTTTATATACTAAAAAGCTCATTGTAGAAAAACCAAAAAGTTCAGATAAATATAAAGAAAATATTCTTTTAAAAAATATTTTTAGCTTTAGATGGACACAATACCTTTATTTTATTTATTTATTAATATTTATGTGATGCTGAGGATCGAACCTAGTGCCTCACACGTGAGCTCCACCACTGAGCTATCACCCAAGCCCCTAAGGAAAATATTCTAACAACCATATATAAACATTTTTAACCTTAAAATAAAACCTTTACTAACTTCAACTTAACCTTTCTTAACCTTGTTAATATTTTAAGCCTTTTTCCAGTATATCTTTTTTTTTTTTTTTTTTTTGAGGAGGATGGTAACCAGGGATTGAAGCAGGAGTACTGTTAACCACTGAGTCACATCCATAGTCCATTCTTTCTATTATTTATTTTGAGGCAGGGTCTCACTAGGTTGCTTAGGGCCTCACTAGGTTGCTGAGTCTGGCTTTTAACTCTGATCTTCCTGCCTCAGCCTCCCAAGTCACTAGGATTATAGGCTGCACCACTACACCCAGCATGTGTTTTAAATTATTATTATTATTACTATTATTATTATTATTACTATTGGTACTAGGGATTGAACCCAGGGGCATTTTACCACTGAGCTACATTCCCAACCCTTTTTTTATTTTTTGAGACAGAGTTTCAATAAATTGCCGAGGCTGGTGTAAAACTTGCAATCCTCCTGCCTCATCCTCCCAAGTCATCCAGTACATCTTTTACTCAATATAAGCATTTTCCATATTGTTAGAATTTTCACAAATAGCATTTTGATAATGGCTTAGTAATATTATATCAAATAGATACAAAAACCATTTTGTTACTATTACTTAGATTGTTTTCATTTCTAATTTTTATGTGCCTTTTTTTTTTGGTATCAGGGATTGAACCAAGGGGTAAATAACCATTGAGCCACATCCCAGTCCTTTTTAATATTTTATTTAGGGCCTTGCTAAGTTGCTGAGGCTGGCTTTGAACTCAAGATCCTCCTATCTCAGACTCCTGAGCCACTGGGATTACAAGCATGTGCCACCATGCCTAGCCTTATGTGCTTCTGAATTAAAAAAATAAATAAATAAGTTTGTAATTGCAGCTTCAAAGATTGGTTCTGACCTCTGAGAAAATGTAAACAATCTTTCTATTCAAAAAGAGGGGAAAACACCCCTCTAGTAAACAGAGATGAGTCCTTTCTTTTTCCTTTTTTTCCTTACCTTTCAAAGTAAGTTTCAACTATAATAAAGAAAGGTCTCTCCTCACAAAAAAGCGGGGGAGGATGACAGTCTACTGGCCTGGAATACACAAGCCTAGGCTCACATTGTAATTCTGACATTTTCTTGCTTTATATCCTCAGCAAATTACACAAAGCTTGTTTCCTCGTCTGTAACAGGACAATCACTTCCTAGTGTTGTTGGAAGGATTTACTGAGACAACATATGAAAACACAGCACTAGGCCTGCCACAGAGTGAGCAAGGCCCTCTTTCAATTGTAAACTTCTGTGCAAGAGTCAAAAGGAAAGAAGTGGAAATGATGATACATAATTCTCACTTCCATCTATTAGAGAATATTCCTAGTACCAAAAGACCAGAGGACTTTAGGACATATTTACAAATACATGACACACCAAAGTGGTTTGGTTCCTGACAACTCTGTGGCAGGTGTGATCTGGAGACTCCCAGTTCCAATAGTCGCTCCCCACTGACCTCTTAGTCTAGCTATAGATACAGTTACCATCTCCTTTCCCATTGCCCCCACCCCAGTCCAAACCTTAGATATCACCTTTCCTTCTGTGACTATCTCCCTAATTCAAACCCTCCTAAAACCCATAACTTCCAACCTGCCTGTCACACTGATTTTCTGTCTATTCTCCTAAATCTTGTTCATGTTTACTGACTCCTTATTACCCGGATCATTGAATTAGCAACCAAAACTTTGATGTTTTTAAGGCCACTATAACCATCTATCTTATTCCTTCATGTTCTATCTATCCTATTTGTTTCTCGCTGTTGTTTTTGTTTTTGTTTTGTTTTGTTTTGGTGTTTGCCTTACCTGACCAGCTATATATAATGAGAGCAGGCCTATGTTTACTGCAGATAAATCCTATCCTTATCTGAAGGTCTTGCCCTTCATCAAAGTGCAATCCAACCTCAAAATGGTGCTTCACATTGCCAGATACTCACATTTTAGTGCAAATAAGTTTTCAAATTCTCTTGGGGTGGGGGTAAATTTTGGTTGGGCAAGGATGAGCATCCCAGGTACCACTAAGGGAAAAATGTTATAAAGGATGGGCTGACATACTTCCCCCTCTCAATATGCCCAGAAATCACTGAACCCTTACTCCCTGTTCCTTTTATCATGGGTGCCTTCTCCTCCACTGTTTCTTTCTTTCTTACTTTTTTTTTAAAGAGAGAGAATATTTTTTAATATTTATTTTTTAGGTTTTTTTTTGGTGGACACAACATCTTTATGTTTTATTGTTATGTGGTGCTGAGGATCGAACCCAGCGCCCCGCGCATGCCAGGTGAGCACGCCACCGCTTGAGCCACATCTCCAGCCCCTCCACTCTTTCTTTAAGCATTTCCTTGTCCATTTTCTAAGGTCCAGTTCATGCCCACAACTTCAAGGCAGCCACTACTCTATCTTCTCTCTTCTAACCTTCCACATTACCCACGGTCTGTCCTCCACTCCATCACTAACTTATTTAGTACAGAGTCTCACACTCCCCATTTTCTCCCTAACTTTCTGCACAATGCTCATGAGCAGAGGTTGTGCCTGCTTCCCATTTGGTAGTTACTTGGGAAACCTGTGACCAATATTCAAGGCTTATCTGACTGACCAGTTGCCCTAATCAATGTCACTCTATGGACTGCTTCTTCAACTTCAGCTCTGCTGGTCTTGGGTTGGGCGGTACTTTATAACTTTGGGTAAAACATACATTCTAAAATGGTACACATCCACCTACTAAGTCTTTCTATTGGTATGAACAAATTTAGGAAGAAACACGTTTGCCTGACACTCAGAAAAATACAAAACACCTATGCTTAGAAAACAAATAAAGGCAGAAACAAATCCAAAAAGAGATGATTCCTACTATTCTCATTTTACAGCCTGTATAAAGGTGATTAGGGAGGTCAAAGTGAAGGAAGACCATCTTTTAAATATACTATTAACTGGGTTCTCATTCACTTAAAAGTTCATATTTCTGTCCAGGAGGAATTTAAGAACAGGGATTACTGGAACTCATACTTCTTTTTTCCAAAAAATGTACAGGTCTTTGTACCAAAAGCAAGTCCCCTTATGGCAAGCTGGTCCACTGCTACATACCCAGGAAACACCGTTTATTTAAAAGTATCAGAGCAGCCCTCTCTGCCTTAGCTCCCATCCCCCCTCTTCTCTGGTTCAGGCTTTCAAGATTGTTCCTGTGCCTTGGGACAGATGTAAGCGTTCCTGCACAATTCTGCAATTAGGCAGGACATTAAGTGTATCTCCAAGAATAGACAAGAGCCCCAAGTCACTGGAGCTGGGAGGTGGAGTATAGTGAACTTGGCTGCAGGTGTGCCTGTCATTCCAGATGACAGCGAGGACCTTCACCTTCAAGTTCTTTAAAAGGCAGCACACCCCAAAGTACTTAGCTCCAGGGAAATTAACTCCAGAGGTTTAAAAGGAAAGGAAACAACAAGACAGGAAGAAGCTAGCTGCCCTGCGAAGCACCTGCCTCCCAGTAGCATTTCCAGGCCGGGCGCCCTGTCGACGGCCCCTGTGGGAGAGAAGCTCCCGCTACCTGGCGTCGGGCTCCTCCTCCGACTCCACTGCAGTCTCATCCTCCTCACCCTCCGACTCCTCCTCAGTCTCCAGCTCCTTGGCTGCCTCCTCCTCCCTATCGGAGCCGAGGAAGCTGTCGGTGGCGTGGTTGCTGTCGCTGCTCGCCATCGCGTCTCTCTGGGCCGGAGTCGGAGCCGCCCGCGCCGCGCCTGGTGTTCTCCCTCTGACTGCGCCTCTGGCCCGGGCCCGTCCCTGCCCCGGCGGGGGCGGCTCGGGTTCCCGGCGCTGGGGGCGGGTAAGCCCCGCGACTTTAAATAGAAGGCGTCAAAAAGTTTCGCCACCACCAAGCTTCAGGGGCCCCCGGCTCAGCCTGTCCTCTTCCCCGCCTGTGTGCCAGCTTCCCCGCGCCCTCCCCCGCCGGTTTTGGCAGATTGCTGGCGGGCTCTTTCGACAACTGGAGAGTCCCCACGTCAAGGCGCGCGGGCTCCGGTGGCACCTGGGCTTCAAAGGAGGAAAAGCTCTTCAGCCCGATCTCCCTTTCCTTCAGAGCCAAATATTTCGATGAGCCTTTTCTCCCAAACAGTCCTTCCTGGGCAGAGAGCTTGCTAGTGTGAGGTACTGTAGAGGGTAATTGCAGAGCTGTGAAGCTCTGGAGAGCTTATGGTTCCACTGCTAGTACAGAGACTCGGAAGAAACAAGACTAGGTCTCTGCCCAATTAGAAAGCTGTTTTGAACCATTGTTCAATATTGGCTCTCTTTACAATTGTGTATTCTTTCTGTGGCCCCTGATTGTTCAGTCAGGTCATTATTTCAACTAATTTTAAACCCACACTAGCTAAAGGCAAAGTTTTGTCTGAAAATAAGTCCAAAGGTCCCCAGACCTCATTGGATCTTGTGAAGCCAGTGCTTAAAATGTCCCCACTACTCAAGGACTAAAGCAGGAGAGCCTCATGCAGATAAAATCCTGACAGCCCACATCTTACGTATTTGGTCTCCTCTTTGGAAGTCAAGGATTCTCAAAATTTATACCACACATACTCTGTCACATGTGAATGTAACAAAAAGTCAATCTGAATGTAGAATAGTGATTACTAGTGGCTAGAAAGGGTGGAGGAAAGGAAGATGGAGCGCGGTGGGATAATGGGTACCAAAACAGTTACATCAAAGTTCCAGTGCTCCACAGCACAGAGGGATGACTGCATTTCACAACAACCTATTACACATTTCACGAATAAGGGACTTGAAGAATAGGGCTGTAATGAGAAGGAAATAAAGATAATAATTACCTTGATTTAATCAACTGTACCCCATAAATATGCACAATTAAAATAATAAATCTCCTTCTGAATTCCTGATTGCACAAAAAATCTATGCCTTATTTAAAACAACACTGAAAATACAATATTAGTAAGGGCAATAAACCAGAGACTACAAATAGGGAATGTAGGACGAAGTATATTCCTGTCTTATTTTCTAATTGGTCTTAAAAATAAAAATCTAGATAAATTTTTTTTAATTGTATGAAATCATTACTCTGTACCTTTATCTACACAATTTCTTCTATCTGAAAAAGTTCTTCCCATCTCTGATTACTGATAATTCAAGATCACCCCTTTTTCTGAAATCCTCAGGTTAAACTCAGTACTCCTTTTATGGGTTCCCATATGAGCTTACATTTCAAGTATTTTGGTATCTTTCCCCCAGTAGAATTTAGACATTTATTACCTATCTTTGTCCCACAATCCCAGCTCAAAAACTGGCAAAGCACCTCGCACACAGAACAAACTTAGAGAATGCTCCCTGAAGAGAACAGGACCAGAGCTGTTGAGTATGCACAACAGGTACAGATATCTTTACAATGCAGAAAGGTATCACTTTTTATGAGAATGACTTTATAACTAGAATGGCAAATACTGGGGACGGGGGTAGGGGGTATCGGGGATTGAACTCGGGGGCATTCAACTACTGAGTCACATCCCTAGCCCTATTTTTTTTTTTTTTTTTGTTTAGAGACAGGGTCTTACTGACTTGCTTAGCGCCTTGCTTTTGCTGGGGCTAGCTTTGAACTAGCAATCCTCCTAACCTCAGCCTCCTGAGCGGTGGGACTACAGGCATGCGCCATAGCGCCAGGCCAAACACTTATTTTTAATCATAGCAGATTCTATTCACAGAATTGTTGAATATGATGAATGGAGGTTTGGTATTTATTATTCTCTAGTTATGCCAGTTTGTATGTATATGTTTGGTCGGTGGGCAAGGAAGGGAAGACAAGTCAGATACACTATGGAACTAATAGCTTAATGGGCATAGGAATAGAAACAGAAGAGTCCAGGCTCCCAGGTTTTATTAAACCTGGTTTAACATTAGGTAGGCTTTCCATTAACAATTCAAATGACCATGCTCACCTGGGACAAAAAGAATTCAATTGCAGTTGTGGGTATCTGCTAAAATCTAACCTACTGGTAGCCATTCTGCTTCTTCAAATTCACTCAGAATTTCTCAGGAACACTAAAAAGTCTAGAAAACTTATTTGCAAAGAACCTAGCTTGAATTAATCCAAAACTGAGAACTGCAGTAGAGTATAATACTTTAACAAAACATGCAAATATATAGAAAATGGGGAAGTCAACACCAATAAAATAATTTAGTGTTCACTGCACAAATAGCTAAGAACAAAATTAAGTCTAAAAAAATTCTTTCATATATTCACAGCCCACTTATCTGTCCCATTTGAACTGTCACAAAGTTCATAATCTTAAGTGTCAGCCCACTGATCTAGAATGAAAGTTGATTAACTTCTTGATCTAGTGGTAACACTGAATCAGCTGAAAATGAATAATAGTGTAGGGTCACTGAAAGCTGAGAAAATAGTGGCAGTGCAAGAGTTCACACTATGGTAAATTCTGGGGCTTTATTAGGAAATGCCATAATAACTGCAGAGGCAGAGCACCTTACACACACCCATCCCTGAGAACTGTACAATATTACTGAATGATAAGTACTACTGTTTGTAATGATTACCCAAAGTCATCACCTGAATATTAATTATACTCAATTCATTTTGATAAAGAAGAGTTGTACAATGTATAATCAATTTCAGGAAAAATTCCAAGAATTCGTATAAAAAGTTCAACTGTATCAAATATTACACATTAGTAATCTAAAAAAATCACCTACATGGAAAGCTTCATTCCTAATGACAGAAAAAATAAGGTACTAATATGGTTAACTGGCTCTAACCATGGATGAACTTAATTCCAAGATTTTCTGTATTAATCTAAATAACCAAGCACAACAAATGAAGTCAGATCAGCTCTAGATGCTAACTATAGCCCCAATCTCATTTCAAAAGCAAAGATGTTCACAGAAAAACAATTTCCATATATAAACTTTATTCCATTTGACATCATACAAAAAGTTTAAACGTAAAGAAAATGAAAATATGCACCTTTTACATGTCAAAGAAAAGCAAGTTTTAGCTTCTGAATTGGCTTGCAAAAAAAATACTTAAGAGGTACAAACTGTATTACAGTAGGTCTAAAAGAAGTTGTCTGCAATCCTTTTAAAAAAGTTAAAACTGTTTTCAAGATTTTTTTAATATTTAAATTTACAGGCACTCGCCAATTTACAAATATTTACATAAATTTAAAAAAACCTTAATAAACACTGTAACTTTTTTAGCAGCCACCACTACTTCTTTGATGTGGAAAAGAAATACTACAAAAGATATTTTTACAAACATTAAGCTTTTATTTATATTTTTTTATGTCTTATCTAAAACTTTGTAGTGGCTTACTGCCTAAAAATTCCAGTTTAGATTACGGTCCTATAATTGTACACACACCAAAAAAATCTGATTCTACAAACAGGATATAATCTTAACTTTGATGCTTCAGTTTCTGTTGCTTCTTGTCATCGGAAAAATAAGCAGGAAACGGAAGTAAAGCAAAAGTGCACATTGCACTAAAGCACAGGAAACTTAATCTTTTCAAAATGTCTACATAAAATAGTCCTTAAAACAGTTCTTAACAATTCACTAACTGCTCTAAGAGTTAGTGCTTGCATTACTACAGTGCAAAATGTGTTGTTATTTCAACATAAAATCTAAAGCAATCTCAAAAGTACATCAAAAGCACGTGAGGTACTAATGAAATGCTAATAAAGACACTCAAAGCCTCAATCTGTCCCTGGGAGGCAAGTGAAAATTTAAGACAATTGTCCAGTATTTCATGACACTGCCGTGATTTTACTGAAATAAAAGATTTCATTTTGCTTCAAGTAACTGAATAACTGACTTGAATCTTCACTTTTTAAGAACAGACTTAGACAACAATCTATCTGTTGTATATTACACTTTAAGCATGTACAAATGAGATCCTTTCCAAAATCCCACACAGCTCTTCACTCTTAGTATGTGGTACAATTAACTGAAATTGTATCAAAAACCTTTTTATTTGTTCAGGTAATTTCCCAAAATATATTTTATCTGATTGCCTGAAAATTCATGCCATAATATTACTAATCATCAATGTAAACATCTTCAAAAATACATTTTTTAAATCAAAGTATTTTATTAGGAAATGTCATAATAAAATATGCCATCTTTATATAAGTGTGTCCTTTTAAAAATAAAACAGGAAACAAGAGGAACAATTAAAAAGAAACCATGATAGAGGTAAACAAATGCATTATGCTGTAACTATTGTTCTTTATTTCTCAGAAGAATTTAAGAAACAGAGGCCAGTTATCTTTTCAGGATAGCAGCTCTTAAAGGTAGTATACTGTTCAAATCTCTTTTGTTTTTCAATCTGTGCCATGACTGGGAGAGAGAGAGAGAAAAAATCATTCTTAAAACATAAAATATATGCAGAATACAGAATAAAAGACAAAGAATGTTAACAGTGGTTTTTTCTGATGGTGGAAAACTTTTGGGTAAGTTCTTTCTTCCTTGTGTTTTTATTTCCCAAGTTGTTAACATCATCCAAGTATTGTTTTTGTAGCCAAAAAGAAAATGTTATTTTAAAATTCCATACCTGTATGGTTCTAATTCATTAATTTAAAAGTGCAAAAAAACATAAAAATAAAAGTACACATGCAGGTGGTACAAAAAAAGTAAAACTGACAATAACAACATTCACAGACTTAATACTTTTGTCTAAAATAGGAAGACAATTAAAACAAAACTTTTGGATTTGAGAAGGTAAGAAAAAATTACTTCAATTAGTTGATAACTTTTTCTTGTCTTTACTAGCTTTTACAA